AATTATTTATTAATAAAATTATAAATTTAATATAAAAAAAATTTCTATTTTTATTATATTTTATTAATAAATTTAATCTTTTAATTACTTTTGACAATTACTATATTATAAAATGAATGATTAAGAAATATTATTATTTTAAAAAGTTCAATACAAAATCATATATTAATTCTCTTTTATTAGTAAATAATATTTTATATTACTGATATAAAATATAAGTTTTGTTAATTATTATTTTTCTAAAGCTGAATAAGATTATTATTTATTAGTTGTGTTGAAATTACTGAAATATTTGAAAGGCTTGAATTGGGAACTGATAAAGCGATGGTTAATAACTTGTCACATAATAGAACAATATTGCTTTTTTTGCAAAATAAAAGATTAACGTTGCAATTTTTGGTAAAAGTTTGGGGTTATGTGACAAAGTACGGTATTCGCGTTTTTTGAGAGGTTCAATTAACATGACTGATTGAGAATTCGTTAAATTGAATTTTTTCTATTCATTTTCCTCATCAACATCCTTTTTCGGAAACTTTTTTTCAACCTCCGCAAAAGCCTCAGAATGCTTGGTCACTACTTTTTGTTTTATTAACCTAACAAAAAGTAAATTAGAAATAATATTTGACAATGAACTAGAATTCTGATACAGAAATTACCGAATCTTTCGAAAAATATATTCCAAATCATTCTTCATCTCTTTAACACATTTTGTATGTGCCTCGTATTTTTTCAAAAGCTCATCATATTTTTGTGCACTCAGTTCACTCAAGGAATTAAGTGTCGTTATACTCTTTTCCAGATTCATTTGCCTTGATTATTATGATTGATGATAAGTATTTATAAAGTAGTGATGGGTAGAAAGGAAACAATTATTTACATGTTTATTTGATATTCGACGATTTTCTGCAAATCCTCATCATTAAGCGAACCATGCAACTGCTCGACATAGTAATTATCAGTATTATCAATATTAATTTCTTTGGAGTCTCTTTGCTGTGGTTGTTCTTGATCCGATTGATCAGAAGACGTAGTTGCCATTTTTCAAACCTGATTTGCCTAATAGATTTGTGTCATGTTTTTGACCAGCAATTGTGCACGTCAAATACTGCGTGATTTTTTGAAATTTTTATTATATACAGCGGGGTATCATCAAAGTTCTCACACACCGCCTTTGTTTCTTTGTTCTCGACCATTTTCTTGAATCCTAAGGTACTTAGCAAATTAAACTACTGCCGTTTTGCAATAACAACAAAAAAATAATAATAGCTTTTCATTATTGGCTTTGTTCTCCTCCAATGGCTCTACTTCCTTTGCATAATTGAGGTAATTATTATTGTATGAAGGTAAATATATTGTGCGAAAATAATCTATTTAAATATTTTCATGAATTTTGATGTTATTTGCTTTAAATAGTTCAGAGTTTCGTTCCTTCTTTACGAAAAACAAACATTCACAAACACGTCAAACGAAATCTATTCAAGATCGTAAATAAAATGCCGAAAAAAGAGACAAAACGCAAGGGTCAGGGGCGATTTACGCCAACCTTATTAAACTTAGAAAGAAACGAAACACCTTTCCCAAGGAGGACCAACATTTACTGGGGTGTTCTCAATCCAACAGAAGATAACGCGAAGTATTCAAGCCAAATTCGTTTATTTGAAGAAAGGCACACCATTGGTCGTGGTGTCACAAGCACGACCGTTTTGAGTGAAAGTGGAATTAGTTTTCATCATTGTACAATCTATAAAGAGTATCAGGAAGAAGGTGGTCAGACTACCACCAGGTATATGCTGGAAGACAAGAGTTCTTTGGGGACCCTGGTGCAAGGCAATCGATGCAGAACCAATGAACCTGTAAGAATCTATCATGGAAACACGATTGGTTTGATAACTTGCAACGGCGTTCTCGAGTTTAAGTTATTGATAAAAGAGGATCCTGATAGTCATGGATCATTCGCGTCGAATTGGACTGTTATCAGTCATCTAGGAAGTGGTCATTTTGCAGATGTAAAGATGGTTGTGCCTTATGGGAAAGATCCCAATGATCCCTTAACTCAAAAGGCTGCGGTTAAAATTATTAAGACTGAATGCCTTAACCACCCGAAACTTCATGAAAATCTTAATAGCGAGATTTCTATTCTTCGAAATATTAACCATGTAAATATTACTTTTTATTTGTCATTTGTTCTTGTCAGTTTATTTATTTATTTATTAATTATATTATTATTC